CCAGTTTCTCCTCCCACTGCATGCAGACCCTGAACTTTCCTCATAGAGATTCATTGATTCAATTAATCTCTATGAGGAGATGCTGATTGGCCAGGGCTGTGTTTGAATCATGCTGGCTCTGCCCCTGATCTGCCTCCTTGTCAGTCTCAGCCAAGCCTATTGGGAAGCACTGTGATTGGATCAGGCCACCACTTTTCTCCTAAAATACATAAGGCAAAATAGGAACTATTCTACTTTGTGTTATGTATTTTCCTCCATTTGATAAAAGGCAGGGCTACCTCTGTTAAGTTATGGCACTTCCCCCAGCCGTCACTAACATTGGCTGGAAGAATAAATCGTCTAATTTCTTACGTGAAAAGAACTATGGCGGCTGCCATGGTCTCACAGAATCTTTATTAGTAAAGCGCTGACATGGGTTGCTGGGAAATGAAGTGCCAAAAAATTAGGAAAGATGATGGTGGTGCCGTGGGACACAGAATCAGGTAAGTATCCACTCTGAAGCAAACCCAGGCCACCGCACACCAAGTGACCATGTCAAAATATCACCATTTGTCATAAACACAGCAAAATTAAATTTGTGTTCCAAAAGGCATCATTTTGACATTTGAACATTTTTGAACCAAAACCAGCTGAGCACAAAAACAGTCAAACTGTAGATTTTTTTTTTTTACCTCAGTCAATTCCACATTCACAGTTTAAATAATTAATTTCCATTTTGGGTTTGTAATATTCATTTAATTGGGAGTTATGGACAGTAGACAAGGCGGTGTCAATCTTTAGGTCACATTGGCCATGCTGTTAATATAGCATTGATTGTTTTTTTTCCATTTTGACTATTTTAATAGAATGTACACCTTATATGTATTACCTTAATGAATAAGTTTGTCATTAATAATCTGTGAATTGTAGGGTTAGACTATATAGCTCATTTGGAGACATAGCCTAGTTGAAGAATTTTCTCACTTCAGTTATTTAGGCTTTAAAATTGTCACATTTTTCATTGTTTAACAAACAGCTGTATAGGAGCAAAACCTTAATCCCATATAATGGCAACCTGAACTCCATTTAATACAATTTCCCAAAAGGCTCTCTATAGTCTGATCAGAATATCCAGTGTAACCCCAAAGGACAATCCAATACTCCTTTAGTGAAGAAAAAAGAATCCCTTTATTGCGATCTCATTCCATGTTTCATACCCAACATCAGGGTCTTTCTCAAGGGATCTTTTCTTCACTGAAGAGGAGGCTTTGAGTTTAACTGGATATTTTTATATCATCTTCTTTGATAGCCCACAAACAAAGCTATTGAAGACACTGTTGTATCCCATATTGCAAGAGAAAAATAATCTGCAAATGCACTCTCTACTGTCCAACCCCTTACTTGCCAAAGTGGTTAAAATATCTAATGCCAGGATGGTTCAAATCAAAATGAACTTGAGCTTGTCAAGCAATGACTGATGCAGATTGAGATCAGAGACAGGATGCATGAGGCTATAATAAACTCCTGATGAGATGATTCAGGATCTGATGTAGGCTGTGGGGATCAGTGATGTTTAAAGTCCTTGATCCCTCATTTAATGAAAATATGGTGCTTTAAATAATGCAATATGCAATCTGCCTTAATACAGCAAATAAAAAGAAGCAAAAATAAGCTCTTATGCAAAAAAAAAAAATTACATTATCAAAAAATAGATTCCATAAATAAATCAAAAGACAAACAACAGCTTGTTATACAGAATTTATTTAACAAATTAATAAAAATCCACCAGATAAGAAAAAAGTATGTTGTCATCTGCATTTAGATATATCCATCTAAACATTTTATCTGTATATAAAGCAAACTAGTGGCCTTATTTTGCCTTGAGGTCAGTAACATTTATTAGAATAGAATGCCTCTATAGTTACTGACAAGCCATCTCACGTATTGCAGCTGACGTGAGGTTGAGCTAAATTGCACATTCAAGCCAACATTTCTTCCAAATATAACAGGAAAAACTGTGGGGTGACAAAAGTTTGGTTTTAAGTGAACACTTTACTAAATAAGGCTTTTGAATTGAAAATGTAGAATAAATGCAAGTTTTATATTTATTGAAACCACACTAAAGAGATTAAAATATTTTCAATCACATACCATAATATATTACATGTTATACCCCTTGTTTCTCACAAACCTATGTTTTCCTTTCTGTTTTGTATGTTACAGAGGGCAAAAACAAAATAAGTATTTTTTAGTATATATTGTTAAAACAGGCACACAAAAGTCTTTTAAAAATGGTTACTCAGACTATTGAAATATGCAAATTTTATTCAAATATGATTGGTCATGATCTGAAACGATATGTATTTGTGCCATTTTACAATGTAACAAATGAAACAGGTCAACAACATTGTTCTTTTAAAGAGACATTATCATGAAAAATAAGTGCGTTTTTGGCATTTATTTTGTTTCCTTTATAGACTGCTGTGACAATTCTTTACTACCTACTTCAACCTGCATATATTTCATTTTGTGTTAAAATCAAACAGGTTTCAGTTCTGTGAAATATCTCCTCCATGGTCTCTTTAGAATATGAATATTTCATATAGTGATGTATTACACCAAAGCTTCATATCGTTTACAGCAATGGTGACGGGTCGATTTGGAAGATTCAAAATAAAGATAAAGTTAAAAATATATTTGTCAAGAAAGGAATATTGTTAGGATGAGCATGTGCGCCATATTAGATTAGTGCGGGAAAACCTACATCACATGTAATTACTTTTGTTACATTTCCACTGACTAGTCATGTGATATTTCTTTCTGCTATTGTGTGGATTTGATTTCTGATGTTTTTTTTCCCCCAAAACTTTATTGAAAGAGATGTCATGGAGGAACAGTAAGAACCTTAAGAGTCTCCACTCATTCCATCTGGTAAAATGGATGACATCAAAAAACAAACAGTTACCCATTGCAGGTAATTATTTGAATAGCTAATATCTTAGAAGAATGACAGAGATAAAGATCTAAAACTCAAGAAACAAAGAAAACAGGCCAAAACTGGATTTTCTTTAATTTAAAAAAAATAAATAAATATGAATTAAACACATCTAAAACCATATTTGTAAAAAAAGGGTTCAGATCAATTAAAAATACACAAATAATCTTGTCCTATTACGTGTCACAAAAACATGATTATTACTATCAAATTTTACATAACATTCTCAGTAAGGCATTGCTGTACTGTAAAATAATCATAGACTGTGATGGCACATGGACCACTTATCACTACTTGGTACTCCAGAACCCTGCAAAAGCTTGAGGTTTGTAGTTAAGCAGTACTACTCATATAGCATTCACATCAGTAGAGGGCAAGGAACACAACTCACAAAATTGACCTATATGAACTATGTATGAATAAACTGAAAAAAGGTCTCAGTTGACCCATTTCAGACAGTATGTAAACGGATTTGAATGTAGACGAGTTTAGAACAGTGTTCTTGTATTAGGTCCGCTTCTCAACATCTTAGACCATGTTTGATTATTGAAGAAATACACCTCCGGATAATAGTCTAACCGTATGTGGCATGTTTCTAGAGAACTCAATGTAGCATTTTATCTTTACATAGTTATGATGATGATTAATTATGAGTAATTCTGATTATTTTTGAGCTCCTTGCATTGTCCACCTCACTGCATTATACCAGGGTGAAAATTAGTTATACAGAGGGCTTTTCTGTAATTCATTTTATAGCATTCTGAATACCTAGTCCGGTTAAAGACAAGGTGTTGGAGACAGAATGCACCAGAGTGTCCTCATATAAACCAAGGCAGGATTTTATTTTCTGTTAAAACCCCTAAACGCCAAGAGTTAGGCAAATCCAATTACATTATGAAATGCCTGGCATGTTGTTGGTTATTCAGGGGTAATATTTACAATTAGGATTATGGATTTCTATATAAGCAGCATTTGTCCATTCATTGCTTGGCTTTAACTGTAAGAAACAAAACTCCTTCAGACTGACAGATACACTTGAGATAGAATAGCTATGCCAGCTGTTAATGTAGGATCATTTTCACACGCGTTTCTACTGACTAACTATATAGCTAGTAAGTGTATAATACGAACACAGTATTTCCAAACACAACATGTCTTCATAAACCACGGTAATGAAAATTGATTGCCTTTAGCAGTTATAACTTTTTGGTAAATAAAAAAAGTTTACATATATATATACTATATATACTTATGCATAATTATTTTCCTTATATACATCATTAAAACAAAACATACACCAATAAAACAAAAAAAAGAAGTTGCATGTCACCTCTCGAAATACAGACAGAAGCAATGCATACAGGTATATAAATAAACACCAACATCTAATATGTTTGTATTTTTGTTTGTTTTTTATATAAATTGTTCATTCAAGTTAAAAGCATTTGATCAACAATATATCCCTACAGATATCCAAGCACCAGCCCAGTAAACATTTGACATAATTATATGGGGGGGAGGGGGGAGGAGAAGGGAGGAAGGAAGGAGGGACAAGGCATTTTTGTGCATTTATAAAAAAATAAATACTATCTGGTTCATTAAGACAGGGATTAAAATGGACTAATTTAAACAGATTCCACATCACAAAAACAAATCAGTGCATCATTAAAAAAGAAAGGAGAGAAACAATTTAAATTTACAAATGACAAAAACATTTTTAAAAAAAAATAATAATAATAAAAATTAAAAAAAATCTTAATTCATTATTTTAGTTCTCAGCCTCAGGGAGTTCATGTGTCCAGAGGGAAAAAATATTAAAAAAAAATACAACTTTAAACGTATAAATCTTGTACTGTTCCCACAATCGCACGGAGATCACTATTAAAACAAAGCCTGGGGCACTTTGTGATGTCTAAGAGTGGTGGGTGTATTAGAATTGACTTGAAGACTGTCATAGCACTGTTATGATAAAACCTGTAACTCGTTTCCAGCGGGGCGGACCCATCTGTGCCCACCGTCCATCTGTTTAGACATGATTGGCAAAGTAGTAGGAGACTCGCAGTGGTCGCCTCTGCCTGAAAGGAATAAACCACAGGATCTTCCAGCGAGTGCCAAAAACTTCTGAGAAGGTCTGCTGCCATGGTTTTCGAGCTCTCGATCTACAGAAGACAGCATTATTAGTGAAAGACAGCATTCCCATGGTGCACTTCAGTCAACGTAGACAATACAGGGTTGGCTGGGGATCTATTAGAAAGCTCAGATGAATTGTGTTTCCTAGCATCACGAATGCAGCTTTCCTTTCATTGTGACATGCAGCTGCGTTTTAAGACCACCTAGCAGGGACTGAAACTTTATTGTCAATCAACGGAGGGCAACTTCTGAAGTTGTAGACAATCCCGGGATGACAAGAATACATGTCACTAACACAGTGGCAAGTCCCTTCTATCCACTTTGATCCCTGCAAAATGCTATTTTCTTGTATCAACAACAAAAATATTTGTACATTAAAAAAATTTAAAAAAAAAAGAGAAGGGGGCACGACGACGACAAAATCCCTATATACAAAGCTCATATAAGAAAGAAACACAGACAAAATCCCTATATACAAAGCTCATATAAGAAAGAAACACAGATTCTAACTGTTTGAATACCTATGTGTATTTCTCCTTCTCTAATTACAATTAAGTCTGAATATATGCTGCACATGAAACAGCATGGCCATAAGCCATTTCACTGCAATCAGCCATGACTGGTTTAAGAAGTCTGAGTGCTGGGTTGATGTGATTTTGGGGAAGAGAGAAAGGAGAAAGAAAGTGTAGTCAGGCTGTCTAGAGTAAATTGTGAAAAGCCTTGAAGTTAATCACACAGTATTTCCTGCAGCCAACTCCATAAATAACAAAACAATTACATTCGCTTCAGTCGGTTTTAAGCTAGTGGGAAGGTGAAAAGCAAATAGGCAACACTAAACAGAAAGAGACAAGAAACAGCTTTGCCAATATTAGCAAAAGTGAAACATGGCTGTTTACTAAAACTTTTTTTTTAGATTTACAAAATTGGGGGCAAAAGCAGGGTAGAAAATGTGGCCTTCTATTTATTAAAGAGCATTCCCTTTCTACTGAAATGTTATCTCATGGGAATAAGGAGGGGTCATTAGATAACGAATGTGTCTCAAACCATTTGAGGGATTGGTACATTACAATGAAGAAAAACGCGTGGGCACAGCACATACATAAGCTCTTGTGCAAACTGTAAATGTATCTCTCTCTCTATACATCTTTATTTATTATATATAATTGATGAGTTCTATAAAATATTGTACAAAATAGGAGGGCTTAGCTTGAGCATCTCTGATGATAAAGACTTCTCCAGGATTTGGTGGCTATGGTCTGATAGAGCACAATTCTATTGCCTGGTATCTGTAGCTCATGAGTCAAACCAATTAAGAGTGTTTGGCATATGACCACCTGCAATCATTGCCATTATAATGAATATAGAATGAATGTTTAGCTTAAACAGTTTAATAAGAAAAAAAATAAAAAAATAAAATAATTGTTTAGGTACTCAGAAAGAGGGGTATTGGAACATCCCCCTATGCGACCTAATATACTATATAGCCAGAAGATATAAGTAAATATTTCAGGACAGATGTACTTCAGCTATACGTACGTTTCTTCACAGCAGTTCGACATTTTTTCTATTGTGGTTGTATCCTAGAGAAAGAAAAACATTTGGATCAAACATCACAAGAAACAAAATAAAAAGAAGTTAAAATGGAGAGAATATGTACCAGTTTGTAGTTGTTTGTACAAGGTAGTCTCATCTTTATTCAACATGCAAAGTTGAAATTTTAGCTTTTTGTAAGTGAATAGAAAGGTAAACATTTCTTTTAAATAAAATGCTTTAAAATGCAGATCTTAGGTTTAGAACAATGAAAATTGTATTTAACCCACAAATCTCCATTTTCCCTGCGTTCTGAGCAAATCAAGAAGAGACATGCCAGCCATGGTCTTAGGGTCTTTTTTTTACCGATAAACTTCTGTCAGCAAAGGTTTATGGGATAAGGTGTTTATTCCCCAGTCACAGTTCCACTTATCATACATGAGCCGCACTGCGACCTGATAGCAGCCATCCCACAACAATTATCAGTTTACACATTTGTACAGCAATCAGGAAAGCAGTGGTTCACGGAAGTGCAGTCTGCAGATCTTCTTATCATGCCGCATATATGACTTGGACAAAATTGATATCAGGAAGTTGGTATTAAAGGGTCACTGTAAGCATCAAAACATTTTAGCTTAATGCAGTGGTTTTGTTGTATAGATCAAGTCCATGAAATCTAACTGCTGAATTCTGAATTCATTTAGGAGTTAAATAATTTTGTTCATACAGCCATCGTCACACTTTCGCTGCGCGTGACATGTCTCCCTGCACATTTCCTGTAAATGTTTAAACTTGTCTTAATGCACAGTCTGATTAATTTAGAATATATTTTCACCTACTCTTAAGAGCATGATAGAACATGCACAAGCCTCCTGTGTGTGATTAAAGTTCAATTAACAGAGCCGGAGATAAAATCTTCTATAGCAAATACAATGTGCTGTCACAACCAATTGAAAATTAAACAATTTTTTCATGTGAGCAGTAAGACTGCAGGGGTATGATCGATACACCAAAACTGCTTCATTAAGCTAAAGTTCTTTGGAGCTTAGAATATCTTTTTAAGCTTACTGGTGGCTCCGAGTGCCTGTCATAAAGTGAAGCCACTCTCAGAACCATCTCAAATTGGCAGTTATATACAGTTGTGCTTAGAGTAAAAAAATAAAGATATATGATATATTTATATAATGCTATTTTTAATTCTGCATTCTGTCAGATAAGGGGTGACTGCATATATGAATCTGAGAATGTTTTATTGACTGCAATTCCAAATTCTTTAAAATCTATCCAACCAAAATAAAGTTCAATAGAGACATTTGTGTTTTTATGCAGTGCTCATTACCTAAACCCCAAATAATACAAAGTAGAAAAAAAAATAAAAGGAAAGAAGTATAGCCACCACCAACAATTATTTTAAAAGCGCCCATTAAATCTGGACATGATGATGACGCTGGCCTGCTCTGATCACTGGCTGGACTCCAACATGGCAGTGAAGTCAGGAAGCCCCACCATGGAGGGGCCAGTCAGGGACAGGAACAGGCATAGGTAATCAGGGAGTAAGGTAGGTGCTTACAGAAGCATGGCCCTGCTGTCCACTACATAGTTATCTCATGAGCAGAATAAATCATGTGCACAAGTTAACTATATTTATTTCCTGTGCACTAGAGAATTAAAAACATGCGCACATGTTAATCATCTCGTAGGCGCAATCTACAATTTTGTATGCATGAGATAGAACAATGTGCACATGGTTAAAATAAAAAAAGAAAGACATTTAGGCGGCACTTTTGGGGCTCTGCAAGAAAGTGTTACTAAAAGGGTTATTCACCAAACTGGGAATTTTGGGGACTTAAATCCAAGAGTTGTGACTATGGCTGGAATTTTTTTCCAAATCTTCTAATTTTTTTATTCATTCATAATTTGCAAATATTCAGTTTACTGAATATCACTGCTAGTTTTATTGCGGTCACAGCTTCTGATGGAGAAAGCAGCTTCTAAAAGTACAAGCTGCCTCATCAAAATTCTAAAAGGAGTGAAAAAACAAAAGCAAAAAATAAATTTAAAAATAGCGGTATCATGCCAATATACAACATTGTTGATTCGTCATGTAGCCTAAAGATAATGGTTAGTATCTGTAGGAATAAAAATCATATGTTTAGTCCAATAAAGGACTAAAGAATTACAGTGGATCAGAAGAATAAGATGTGCTTGATTGAGAGCTCAGTCAGCCACTCTCTGAACACGGATGTATTCTCAATTCTCAATCTTCCAGGAAACACACACAACCTCATGGGGCTTAGATTAGAACAAACAAAATAAATAGAGAAAATGCACGAAAAGATTAGGAAGGTGAAGCATGTTACACAAATTTTCCCCACTCATTACTTTCGGATTAACAAGCAGTAAAGACGCAAATAGCTCGTAAGTTACGCCTACAGAGGAGAACGGTCTTGTGGCCAGAGATAAACTGGAAAAGAGCCATAGAGGGATTGCTGAACTTCCTCTAAAACATGCTTAAAATGTGTAAAAGAAAAAAAAAACACCACGAAAAAGCATAAAAGGTAGTAAATGTAACATGAAAGAGAAGATAAACCCAATGCCATTCTAAACAAGTTAATTAAGGCTACCAAGGGTCTATTTTAATTTTCAATTAATGAGTCTGTATTACTAAATCTTGTAATAGAAAATAGAAAAGAGTGCTCAAGTAAACACAAACAAATAAAACCCTAAGAAACATAATTAAAACAAACACAAATATCACTAGGGAAAAACAATGTACTTCTGCTGAGGCTGACATTTTTGATAACCTTAGGGAAACATTGTAAGCGCTCTGCTACTGAAAGCTTTCCAATAAACAGCAAATGCACTTGTGCCACCTCTCACAATATTCTAAAAGTGAAACGATAATATATATATATATATATATATATTTATTAACACACACACTGATTTGACACTTTGAAAGGCACACACATTTACTTACAGACATCCTAGCTGACTTTCACACATTTACTTACAGACATCCTAGCTGACTTTCACATACATACACTCACTGTTATTTTGTCCTATTTGTTGTTTGCTTCACAATACAAAAAAAAAACATGTTCAAAGTTGTGGGCATGTTCTGTAAATTAAATGATGCAAATCCTCAAACAATCCATTTTAATTCCAGGTTGTGAGGCAACAAAACATGAAAAATGCCAAGGGGGTGAATACTTTTGCAAGGCACTCTCCATACTTTGGTTCTCATTCGTTATTTTTTGGTTCGGTAGATAAATCTACCGAACAACGACCACCCCCCTGGCTCATTAAGTTCAAAGAAAACCACAGGAATTAGCGCTCGTGTAACCAAACACGTGTTGTAGAAAATGGTGGCCATCTTGGCGCACAAAAAGCAGCAGCGGGACTTGGTCGTCGAGTGTCTGGAACTCCAAATCGGGCACTCGACTTCCCAAACGCTGGTCAACTTCGCGAACACCTGCTTCTTTTCCCACCAGGAGAGTGCTGTTTGGTAGGTTTGTTCTCATGAACCCAGGGAACAAACGCTACCTATGAGCCAGGGACACAGTTTGTGTATTTCTTCAGATTGGGACTCACGAAATTGACCGACCGCTACCCATGAAACTCTGGAACTGTTTTGGGCAAGTGCCTCGTCAGTCAAATGTTTACCCAGGTGCAATTCGGATTTGTTTGTGGGATCTGAGCACTATTTGTACAACTTGGGCGCTCAGATCCATGCTATCCGAGGATATGCCATTTGTGGGGGTCCCTACAATATTTATGTATTTTATTATGTACTTTTGATATTTTATATTTTATTTTGAGTCATTGTGACTCAGGAATGTAAGGGGCATGTTGTGGGTGTGTATACTGTACCCTTGTCTTGCATAAAAGCCGGCCGTTTGGCCTGAATAAAAACATTCCTGTTGTACCCGTCATCTAGTTCAGGCTGATGTTTGGGTATGCATCTGATTACTTGGTGGATTTACTTCTATGCTGTATTTTCGTCTGGAGAACGTTCGAATCAACACCCGAACTATAAGCTATAATCACTCAGCTTCTGGCAGTTCGGGAAGAAAACGAACGGGTAGACGAAATACCACCGTTTGTAACATATATATTATAAAAAAAACACATCATTATCTTGATTAAATATTTGCAATCAATCTGAAATGTTGATATTGAGGAATCAAAGTTACATTTTAAAGCTTTAAGTTATCCTGTAGGGCTATCCTTTTTATTTATAAGGCTCAATGATGCACATGGGGAGTGAAGGATAGCCCACCTGGTCTGTTCACACAGAAGAACTACTGTACTTCGAATTGCTAAAAACTTAATGCTGGCCATGACAGAAAAGTGTCAGAACACAAAGTGCTGCATATGGGGCTGCATAGCTGCAGTCCGGTCAGAGTGCCCATTATGGCCCATGATGACCCCTGTTAACCGCCAAAAGCACCTTCAATGGAGAAATGTAAGATGGTTGCATGGTATGATGAATCATGTCTTCTTTTAGAAGAGATGACAGCAGGATGCACTATGAGAAGAAGGCAGGCCGGCTGAGTCAGCTTTATGCACAGGGCAATGTTCTGCTGGGAAACCTTGGATTCTGCCATTCATGTGATTGTTACTTTGGCACCTACCTAGAGATTGTTGTAGACCACGTGCAGCCCTTCATGCCAGTGGTGTTCCCCAATGGCAGTGGCCTCTTATAGCAGGATAATACATCTTGCCACATTTTAAAAATTGACCAGGAATGGTTTCAGAAAGGAAACCAAGGAGTTCAAGGTGTTGCTTTGGCCTCCATATTCCCCAGATCTCAATCTGGTAGAGCATCTGTGGGATATGCTGAAACAACACATCCAAAACATGAAAGCCCAACCTCATAAGAGAAGAAGAAACAATAGGAGAAATATACATTTGAGGTAACAGCTACTTTAATGTATGCTTTCATGCAACATCTTACTGCAGAACCACAGTTCTCTGCTGAGATGCAGAAGTATAGAGCCACAGGCTACACAGTGCAGGGTGAAGAATAAGGTATATTTAGTTATGGTCCAGGAGACAAAACAAAAAATACAACGTTTTGGCCATGAGGCCATAATCATGTATGTTAGTAGAAATAGAACCCCAACTTTAGTGTAAAATGTTGCCAAATTGTTTAAACCTTAAAATGTAAAACAAAGCCCAGACACTAACTGATGTTATGCGGGCAGGAGTGTTTAGTGTATTTAGTACAGGCAAATATGACAATAACAGTCCCTAATGCATGTGAACTAACTGTATGCTTGGAAAAGTAGGTGGGCTTTGACTAAACTTTAGTTTTTCCTTTCCTTAAACCTCTGGTGATTAGTCCTAAATTGGAATATGGCATTCTGTTAATTGAAAAGGGAAGATATTGATAGAAACAATTTGAACATGAAGCAGAGTACACACTGTAAAGTCTGACAATATCGAGGAATATACAACCAGAGCACATAAAACTATATAGCTGCTGTAGAAGTAGAAAATACAATTCAGAATCAAGGATTGCAAAGTGCGACTCGAGGGCTTCTCATAACATGACCAAACTATAGTGGAGGGATAATTAGTACCATTTGTGATGATATGTCATTTTGCTTGTGACATCTCTAATGTTTATTGTTTAAAGGACCACTCTAGGCACCCAGACCACTTCAGCTCAATCAAGTGGTCTGGGTGCCAGGTCCAGCTAGGATTAACCCTTTTTTTTATAAACATAGCAGTTTCAGAGAAACTGCTATGTTTATACTGAGGGTTAATCCAGCCTCCAGAGCCTCTAGTGGCTGTCTTATTGACAGCCGCTAGAGGCGCTTGCGTGCTTCTCACTGTGAAAATCACAGTGAGAGCACGCAAGCGTCCATAGGAAAGCATTGCAAATGCTTTCCTATGCGACCGGCTGAATGCGCGCGCGGCTCCTGCCGCGCATGCGCATTCAGCCGATGACGTCGCGAGCAAGGAGGAGAGGAGGAGTACAGCTCCCCGCCCGGCGCTGGAGAAAGGTAAGTGTTTAACCCCTTCCTCTCCCCAGATCCGGACGGGAGGGGGTCCCTGAGGGTGGGGGCACCCTCAGGGCACTATAGTGCCAGGAAAACGAGTATGTTTTCCTGGCACTATAGTGGTCCTTTAACTGCACTGCTCTACCTTAAATAGTTAATGTGTTGGTTCACTTTAAATCTTGTCATGTAACCTGGAACAGGAAATAGGTCACAGGTTATAGTTCAGTTGTGAAGGGGAGACTGAGAATAAAGAGATCCTGGTTAAGCTCCTCTCAGTATTTTATGACAATACAACACACCATTCACAACTGAAGGTAAAAAAAGGGCCAAACATGCAAACACCAAAAAGAAATTGCATAAAATTGCTGAAGTATTTCAGCATGCATTTGTTTTTATAAAATATAAGAAGCTCAAAGACATTTTACTTGCAATACAGAAACAATCACCATAATCCCTTAAAATTAGGCTAGAGATTAGTTTTCTTGAAGGATGTATCCCAATTGAAACATCTGGTCATGTTATAAGGAATGAGGACCTTTTTAACTTTTGGAAATTAGATTATCCGAACCCATGTCTGTAAGTGTCTGACTAAATTCTAATTACTTTATCTGGGTCACAGATAATCTGCTTTTGTACACTGTGCACAACAACCTGCAAGGGGGATCATTCCTGGAGTCCTGATCAAGTTTTCCATCCAGACAAAGAAAATACGACCCCCCCTTAACTCCAGTGGAGTGGATCGTAATCGAGGGAAAGGAAGAGGACAGATAAGGAGAAGAAGGTGCTGAAGAATAACTGCACACACAAGATACGAGGCACTATTTGCAACCCTTGACACAGTTACACAAAGACAGATTGCTTAAGGAAAACTGTAAAAATGCCAGCTATACATGAAATTACATTTTAAACATCTTTTCACAAGTCATATGATTGGCTCACAATCTTCCTTGTTGTTTCTTTATATTTGTGTGCCCCATTCCCCATGTGTTTCCTATTATTCTGATCCCTTTTTAGAGGGATCTACAATTCTAATCTTCTGGTGAAATAAATACTACACAATTTGCCAAGTAATAAACAGTGGGCAGTCGATTGGGTTGTCACATAATTAATGGTTAAAGTCTGCTATACAGTTAACAGGGCCTGATCTTTTAGATATTAGGAAAATACGATTGCAAAATGTGATAAAAATTTTACATTAATGCACAGAGCACCAACAAAAAATTACAGCAGTCATTTTAGAGAGAAGAAAGGCTGAATACATAAAATATTTTTGGTGAACCAATGTTATAGCATAGAGCTGAACAGATTAGGTAAGTGCTAAACAATACTGCTCTAGAATATTCATCATACTATTCCGTATGTGTACGTTTTTTGTAATTATCTTAAAGGGGTCACTGCACACACATAAGCTTGTGACAGCTTCAACGGAAATCACACGTTTATAACCATGGTCAATCAGACAGCCAGAGAGGTTTTCTTCTTCTTTCATTAGCTCTATGGAGCTAACAAAAGCAGGAATCATGCCATGCTAGAGGTTTTAAAGCTCACTGAAAAGCTGTGTGGGCAATAGTGTGCACGCTCGCTGCTCCAACCAAGATCTTTTATTTTGTGATCTGTGACCAAAATACAGCATTTCTGTTTCAATTACAATTAAAAATCAACTTGAATTAAGTTGGTTGTTTTAATACATACGGTGACCTTTGTATTAAATCCAATCACATACATTATGAGCATACATGTTACCTGCCTATTGCCTGCCTTTAACATCCAACTGCAGAATCCTACCTTGAAGACGTGTAGGCAATCTGTGGCTGTCTACTTGCTTTAACGGTCACTGCAGATTCTAAATGATCCTGGCTAGCTTTTTTCACTTCCTATGAACATCGGCATGTGAAAGGAAATATCCCATGTGAACCAGCCTCTTGGTTATGAAGATGCTAACACAAAGCATTTCAGACAAGTGTAACCAGTGTGACATATTCCATGGTGATTTTTTAGTAGTTGCTTACGAGGCACATTTGATGCTCAATGCATAAAGAGCTAGACCGTTTGCTTAACCTGGGGGAGATATCTCCAGTTTGGTAGACAGTTCAGCCTTTAAAAAAACAATCCATACACACAGGATGGAAAAACAAGGAAAACGGCTACTTCAAAACCTACAGTTACACAAAAATTTTTATTCCAGCCTGGCCACAACAGAAATTTGGGAAATTCTTGCCACAAATGAAATATTGCATTTTGTCATCAACACTTGTACATAACATTATCTAGCTCTGATAACCTCACACCCAGCAGTGTCAATGAAAGTCAGATTAATATTTGCCTCAATCAGCAGTGAGTGACAACATGTCTAAAACCAGTCTTTGCTTCATTAATCAAACTGATTAATATAAATGAGTGCAAGACCAGACTTATGGTCCATTAATTAATCAAGACCTACCCAGGAGGTGGCGTGAGATCTATAAATCACAGCACGGCAGGAAAGCTGAACATACACTATAGCACAGTAAAAACATGCGCAGATCTGGAACAGAATGTACAGTCTCCGTCAGACACGCATTATTGTATGTACACAGAACAATGGAAAGTAACATAATTAACATGCAAATGAGACAGAACACTAAACTGAAACCACAACCAATGGTAAAAAACAGTGAACAGACTTTGGCTTAAGAGCAGGATTGATGATAAGACAAATTGCCTAATGTTGAAACATCAAAGGACCTCTAGTTCTATAATTGCCAGGAATTCTACCTTTTAGCTACACTTGCTCCAGTGTATCAACATGCAGATGCTCTAGGACAGATATGGCGAACCTTTTAAAACCGGAGTGCCCAAACTGCAATGCTAAACCAACTTATTTATCTCAAAGTGGCAATACAGCAATTAAAATTGAAAACACAAGTCAAGTTGTGTGTGATATGTGTACTGGGTGGTTATTTTAATGTAACTACCTTTATAAAATTAAAAAAAATAGAAAACTTTTGTTTGTCCCTTCACTTAATCTTAATCTTTTTTGCAATGAGAGAGCTATCTTTCCTTGTGGCCTGGTTGTTAAATTGGGTTTAATAATAATTACCTGGTGATCCAGTGGGATTTAATGCTTGGTCTGATGTGGTCTTGTGGGGTTAGTAATGAATCATTGGGGGTACAGTGGGATTGATAACTCCCTGGTTGTCCAGTGATTTTAATAATGATTCACTGGTGTAGGTGAAGGTGCAGACCATGTTTATCGCTCCTTCTGATCTGGCACTCAGTGTAAAAGTCAGAGCACTGACTGGGAATCCAAGCGACTGCGCTTTTACTGCTGAAACCATGAGGGAGCAAGGTGGTGCAGACCATGTGCTCCACCACCTAACTATGATGGAATCATTATTTCACCTAATATGTTACCCATTTGGTAAGATAATGAATAGATATGGCTCTTTTGATGGAGGTTGCATTATCCTCAGACACTGTGCACCCTGCTAATACATCTTAATGGAAAAGCTGGCCCTTGGTAAGCTAGAACATTTGGTTCGTATGCCAACAGAGGGGCCTCTGCATGCCCATTGTGGCACGCATGTCATAGGTTTGCCATCGATGCGCTATCATATTAATCACAGGTAGAATAGTGTACAGTATTCAGTACAGAGAGCAGAACAATCTATAAACTTGCCTGTCAAACACATAGAATAGGGAACAAAACTATCAATACTTATACATGCAAACATCCCCCTCCCCCAAAGGAAAACCAAATAAAAAACAAAACAAAACAAGGGTTCTGTTTGAAGGGTGAAAATACTCCGGGAAATGCTAGAGGAAAGGTTACCTCTTTCACACACTGTCAAACCACCAAAAGAGATCATTTGGGGCTCTTCCTAAAGGAGATTTCTGCAGACCTCATTAGGATTCATATTACATCAGTTGACAAGTCCCATTGACACACAATTATGTCATATTATAGCCTGTCATATCACACCCAGAGGAACATCACACACTGAACATGTGCACCGCAACCAAGAACTAGCCTTAACCCACTGTGGAGAGACGGCAAATAGTTCATGACCAGAAATTTCTTAATTTGGGTTGCAGAACTCAAGATAAGTAAGCCTTTCACAAAAATAATTTTATATTCAACTTGGGTTTGTACCGCTATAGAAAAAACAAAAACACCCACACACTAAAAACAAACAGATCATACCATCAGGGCTTAACATTTAAAATCCTTTGCTACTAGGCAGACCTTAAAGGGATACTCCAACCACCATGACCACTTCTGCTTTTTGAAGTGGTCATGGTGGTAGGAGTCTGGATGTGCAGTGTTTTTGCTTGGAACTCTGCAAAACCTGGGTAATTTGCAATTGTGTCCTGGGGCTAGTTGCACTCCCAGCACATGTGACACTAGAAGCCCAGAGCTCTATCCAGGCAGCACTGTATTTACCACAAGGCTAAAAAGTGTTTCCTTATGCATGAGGAGCTTCATGTCATGAAGAGCTAAAGAGCTGGTCGGCTGGCCACCGTAGGCTCACCACGAAGCAGGTGGATGCGCATATTGTAGCATATTGTAGATCTCTGTGCTCTACTTGCTCTGCTCCCTCGCGCACTCTGCTGTGATGTCGGGAAATGAAGTCACTCCAGCCCCGGCATTACTAAGCGGCGTGCGAGGCAGCAGAGCAAGAAGTTTACAGCTCCCTCTCCGTCTCCATTGCATATCTACAAGCCAGTCGTCTTCCCACCCAGCAGCACAGCTGGACTGGAGTGGAAAGAATCCACTCCAGCTCTCTCAAAGATAGGGATGCTGGGCGGATTTAAAATAAAATATAACAATAATAATTTGTGAGTGTATGAGAAAATGTGTGTTAGTGTGTCAGAATCAGTAAATGTGTGAGTGTGTCTGTTAGGGAATCTGTCTGTAAACAGGGGCGGACTGACCACTCGAGGCAGTCAGGGGCCCAGCTGCCTGAACAGCCATGCACTCTCTCTGGCTGGGGAGATCAGAGATCTCCCCAGCCAGGGAGGCAAAATTGCACATCAAGCCCCTGAAGTGTCCCCCTCACCTTCTGAGTGAGACCTGGCAGCAATATTGCTCTGTACCAGGTCTCCTCCATCCTTTTCTTGTGCGGAGCTCTGGTGTGAAGGGAGGAGGCAGGGCCCAGGGGAATGGAAGTTACATACCTTCCTGCCCTCCTCTCCTTCTTTCCTGCTGAGTGGCTTAAGCAGCAGGTATGTAAATCCTCCAGGCCCCCCTTCACTAACCTCAATCCCCATCTCAGCCCCCATCTCCCTCTGCCCCAGGCCCCCCTCAACCCCCATCTCCCTCAGCCCAAGGTCCCTCTCCACCCACCACAGCCCCCATCTCCATCAGCCCAAGGTCCCTCTCCACCCACCACAGCCCCCATCTCCCACAGCACTCAGCCCCAGACCTCCCTCCACCCACCTCAACCCCCATCTCCCACAGCCCCAGGCCCCCTGCACCCACATCAACCCCCATCTCCCTCAGCCCCAGGCCCCCCGCCACACACCTCAGACCCAGGCCCTCCTCCACCCACCTTAGTCCCCATCTCCCTCAGCCCCAGGTCCACCTCCACCAACCCAGCCCTCATCTCTATCAGCACCCACCTCAGCACTACCCCCCCACCTCAGCCCCAAGCCTGCCTCCCTCCACCTACCTCAGGCCCTATCTCCCCCAGCACCCACTTAGGCCTGCCTTCACCCATCTCCACCAGGACTCACCTCAGCCCTTATGGTCTCTACCCACCTCAGCCCTAGGCTCCCCTCACCTCATTCTCCATCTCCCTCAGAATCCACATCAGCCCCTATCCCCTTTCACCCACCACAGCCCCTAATTCACCCTGTACCCACCTCAGAACCTATCTCTGTCTCGTCCACTACAGCCCATATCCCTCCCTGCACCGAATGTAGCCCCTATGCTTTCCAGCACCCAGTGTAGCCCCTGTCACTCCTGCATTTACTTTAGCCACTATCCCCCCATGCACCTACTACAGCTCATATCCACACATGCACACACTGCAGACACTATCCACATGCACAAACAAACTGCAGCCTTTATATCCCCCACACAGTAGAGCCTCTATTATTCAAACAAATACTCACTACAGCCCCAGTATCCGTCCAGACGCCTAATATGGTCCCTATCCCACACACATACAACAGGCCCTACCACGCACACTGCAATACAACCAGCCATCTCCATCCATATACAACACTGCAGATAATCAACCACACACTCAAACCCACCAGGAGCATCACTGTATGCACACAATCCCACACATGGAAAACCAAATGCAACCTCCCCACCATTGCAATACTGCATACAGTCTCCTTACACACACACATACACACGCACACATGCAATTATTACAACCTTTTATATAGTGCTAACATATTCAGCGCAGTACAATAGGTAAAAGAATACAAATAATTCTAACACATGTTGACATACAGGAACACAACATCACAAGCAGCATCCCACACACTGAACCCCACTAGTTGCCTACAAACACATGTGTTTGGAGGCTACTTGTATGGACTTGTACAATTGAAAATAAATGTTGGGGATGCTGCTTGTCCAGCAAACACAGAGAAAGCGTGTAATTAAATTTTCTTATTTTCTTTATTTTAGTGGGGATGGGGGGAGAGTGAGGGGAGGGCGTGGCATGCCAGTAAGGGTTACTCCATTTATTAAAACACTGTTTTTGGTTGGATTAACCTCTTAAAAGCAAATCTGACCCTGTTTGGAGGCTTTGCAGTCATGACTGTGTGGTTCTCAGACAGCCATTATTGGTGCAGGGCTCAAAAAGGGTGTATGTAGCAATGTCTAACAACAATATTAGCAAACACACTGCTATGATTGATTTTTAATATCAGACAGAATGAAAATGATGAAATTAAATGGAATGTCACGTACGGTTAGTATGCCAATAACCTGTGTGTAGAAAAGACTGCACATGCCACCAAACATGAGAATGCCCATAAACGTTGATATCCTAAGAAAGGCCAGCTCGTGTCGAAATATGAATAAGTCCTGTAATGAAAATGAACAAAATTACAGAACTAAAGATATATATAAAAATATTCAAGCAATTATTTTAAAGATAAACTTAAAAAAATGATTTGCCATAAATATGTATAATTTTTATTAAAATATGGTATGTTGAATTAACATGAAAGCAAGAATATAAGGAAAGTATTTTTTACTTGTTTTTACATAATTCCATTAAGAAACTATGTTCTTTTTTTTAGTACTAAACCTCTTTGTTTTGTTTTTTTGATTCTCTATTCTCTCAAATTATAAAATGCAAGAGTTCCGGTTTAGTGTCTCTTTAAGAAACATGTTCTGCTGCCTTACAAGAGAATTTACTACCAGTTATTATACAAGGGTGCCCTCTGCTGCTTTTCTTATGCATATATATTAGACAATAAGCTGCTTACAAATATTCTATTTGAGCAAGAAAAGCAAGGACTAGAAAACATCATTTAAAAACAAAAAAAACAACCCATCAAAATAGACAGGGTGTGTGAATACACACAGAGGATATTCACAGTATTTAGATTTTACATATCATAGATTCCACTACCACCTGTACGTCAGTGACACCCTGATATATCTCTTTTCTTTTATCTTCCATCCATGACTGCATGCCCTCCCACTTTTTAAAACTCAATCGCTCTAAAACAGAGCTTCTTATTTTTCCTCATCATAATTTTGATGCTCCTCTTTCACTCTCCCTGCAAGTTGATAGTTGATATTCACATCAGCCCATTTTTGCAAGCTTGGTGTTTTCTGTGATCCTGGACTCACCTTTGTGCCTCAGGTCCAGTATGTTGCTAAAACCTGTAGATTCCACCTCAAAAACATTGCCTGTGTCTGCCCTTCTCTTACGCAAGATTCTGCCAAAGAGCTTGTTTTAATGTTCTAGTAATTTCTCGCATTGATTAATGTAATTCTCTCCTAACCTGTCTCTCCAGAAGCTACAATCTGTAATGAATGCTGCCACCAGGCTCATCCTTCTCTAGTCACTCCTTTCACACGTCGCCACTCTGTCGATCCTTACACTGGCTTCCTGTATCCTATAGGTGTCAATTCAAAATACCAACCCTTACCTACAAAGCTCAAAACAACTCTAGCCAGTTATATATCTTCACCATTTTGTTGATATGACCCTTCTCTGTCTATCCGCTCTACCGGTGATCTTTTCCTGTCCGCTGCACACACCCTTACTGCTAATTCGCGTTTGTAGGACTTTTCACGGGCAGCTCCTTTCCTTTGGAATAGCCTGCCTACCACCAGACTCTCTTCTAGTTCAATCATTTAAGAAGTCCCTCAATACCCATTTTTGCAGAAATACATATGGCCTTCCAGAGTAATTTCTATTTCACAAATCTGTCTCTGGCTCTCTCCTAAATGTTCACACTCCACTCTCGCCTCCAGTTCTGCAACTTTCCCACCTTTTTTGTTTGCTGTCCCCCTTGATGTCTTTCCTATTGTATTTTATAACCCACATCCTCTAAACTTTAAGCTCGTCTGAGCAAGGTCCTCATATACCTATTGTCTCTGAATAATTTTGTAATTAATTATTATTGTAAAGAGCTGCGGAATAAATTGGCAGTATATAAATACCAATTATAATATAAAATGGAGCAATGTAAGCATCTGGTGTATGCTTGTATACTCCGTTAAAACATTTTTAGATAGCTTACTGTGAAAACATCATTAACAATTCATGTATAAGAAGAAGACAAAAAAATAAAAACATGTTTTTTGAAAGAACAGTATGACTTCATACCCAATTGATGCTTTTCAGAGGTAGAAAATAATAGTAGTGGCAGAAATCTAGAATCAAAGTATAGCCGCTGAGGACCTGTGTGTAGAAGCAGAGCTGTAGAAACAGCCAATGGTTATCTTCACCTACACAATTGTTTATCCTATGGAAAGGGGAAAACAGAAATGAGAACATAGCTAAAATATGTCCACCTCCTTGATCTAGAAAAAACACATAAAATATACAACATTTCAGGAGATATGTATAAATAAGAACAGAACAGATGTTGAATAGCATCACCCAGCACTCAAAATTTCCAGTTGTGGTTTCTGCAAGGAAAACAAGCCTGGGCGAGCATACCAAGTGAGTTAAATTTACTGTACAGGTGGTGGGAACGAAACTAGCACTGGCTTTCTAGAGGCTCCGAACCAAAGCCACTGCAGGAAGGAGAAGCAATGATAACTTTAACAAGCATATCCAATTGTACCCAGGCCCTGCCTCTCTTCACGAAAGACAGCTTTCTCAAATGGCCCAGATTGTCTAATCAGTGTTGGTTTTGAGTAGCTTAAAGGAACACTTCATGAAAATAAAGCACTTCAGTTTGCTAAAATGCTTCATGTGCCTTAAGTCTGTCACATCTGATATTTAGAAATCGTCACTTTTATAACTGGGAGCAGAAGCACCTTCATGGCTATTTTTCATCTTCCATTAGCTGCACAGAGGTGGCTGGAGGCGAGCTAGGGCACAATGGTGTTCCCAACGAGCTGTTTTACAGCTCATTGAGATGCACAGGAGAGCAGCAATATCAAAGGCTTTCTTCTCAACAAGCAATTTATGACTGGTGTATTTCATAAGAAAAAATACAGAAATAAATGCATATATGTTTTTATTGGGGGCATAGCTATGGAGTGCTCCTTTAAAAAAAATAAAGTGCTAAAAATGTATTTTTAATATTGTACTCCGTGTTCAGTAAGAATAAATAGAACAGCAAATGTCTCAATCAGTGCTTGTATATGCAATGCATTCAGCAAGTATTTAGACCCCTTTGTCTCACATTTTTTGTACTGCAGCCTTATGATACAATTGGTTAAATTACTTTTTTTTTTTTTTACACTCACTACTTCATAATGACAAAATAAAAACCAGATGTTTGAAAACATACATTTTGTTAAAAAGAAAATGCCGAGATATCACAATGCCATAAGTATTCATAATCTTTATTATGACTAGTGAAATTTTGCAGAGATGCATCCCATTTCTCTGTATTACCATCAAGACGATTCTACACTTTAATTTTAGTCCACTGTGGCAAATTCAATGGATTGAACATAATTTGGAAAGGTACACACCCCTCCATATATGGTTTCACACCTGTAAATGCATATCAGAGCAAAAACCAAGCCATGAGGTAAAAGGAGCTGCCTGCAGGGCTCAGAGGCATTATTGTGTCAAAGTACAGACCTGGAAAAGGATTACAAACATTTCTTTGCTGAATTGAAGCTTCCCAAGGACACAGTGGCCTCCATAGTTCTTAAATGGAAGACATTTTGTGCAATCAGGACTCTTTCTAGAGATGGCCGTGTGGCCAAACTGAGCAATCGGGGGCCTTGGTAGGAGAGGTGACTGACTGGCCTGACAGAAGCCTCTCCTCACCGCAAGACAGGTGAAAGCTCACTTGGAGTTTGTATAACAGCACCTAAGAACTCTGACTGTAAGAAACAAGATTCTCTGGTCTGATTAAACAAAGACTGATCTGTTTGGCCTCAATTGAAAAAGTTATGTCTGGAGGAAACAAGGCACCTCTCATCACCTGTGCAAAATTATCACAACAGTGAAGCATGATGGTGGCAGCATCATGCTTTGGGGGTGTTTCTCAGCAGCAGGAACTGGGAGACTGTTTTTCTCCATTGATCTTTCCCTCAGTTGGTCCAGAAACCTTTGTTGCATTACAGCCAAAAAGACTTGAGGCTATAATCGCTACATACAGTGCTTCAAATAAGTACAGTATGAGTAAAGGGTCTGAATACTTGAGTCAATGAGAGATTTTTTTTTTTGTTTAAAATATTTGCAATAATGTAAACAAAACAAAAAATAATATATATATTTTTGTGCTCTGTCATTATGGGGTACTGAGTAGAGCTGGGGGGGGAGGGGAGGTTAAACGAGTGTAAAATAAGGCTGCAACATAAAGAATACTTTCTGAATAAACCATAGAAGTTGAATACTAAGCAAAAGGTTATCTAATTCAAATGAGTTATGAATTTTGTTAATTTTATTTTCATTTATGGTCTAAAATTGAAAGTCTCATTATTAAAGGAACACTGTAGCCTCATGAATATAGACATGCATTCCTGATACTATAGTGCTGCTGGTGTGGCTGTTTAGGTCACGGGTCTGCTCCAATCATGCCATGCCAAGCATTGGGAGGGTATTGCCCATGAGCAGCAAATCACTGCGCCAATAGGTATCTCCTCATAGATGCATTGAATCAATTGGGAATGTTCAGCGTCTCCATGCAGTAATGCCAGTGCTGCAAAGTATTCCGTCTGAGTGACTGCCACTAGAGGTGTTTCTAGGCACCAATGTAAAACACTGGCTTTTCTCTAAAAATGCAGCATTTACATTGAAAAGCCTGCAGGGTCAGGCTATCAACACCAGAACCACTATAGTGACTATAGTGTCTCTTTAAGCACTAAGCAGAGACTGCTTCATTCTTACACACTTAATTACCAATATTCACACATACTTGTTTAATACTTATTTAAGCACAATCACAATCCTCAATTACCTAATTAGCCACTCTTACTTTCGCATTCCATACTAACTATTCCACACCTAGTTAACCACATCACTGCATTTGCCACAGTTACACATTTTGTTTCCTGAGGGAACGTTTTATGATATTGTAATTTTTGGTTTATTGTAATAATCAGCACAAATTGTGGCTAATGTACAATTTCAAAGAACATAGCTTCAAAATAAAGGCAGAAGAAAAATGCTTAAGAGCCATTTGCAGAAGGTTGGGTTAAGAAGGAGTCAAGCACTCAAATTTAGTCTTACCATGGACAGTGGTGATCCATTCTTCTGACACAGTGGCCACAGCGACTGCAGTGGTGGGACCGTTTGGGTCTCATCATATTGCATTTATTGCACAATTCCCATAATTCTTTCTCTAACAGGAAAACAACAATATTAACAAGAGGTTTTATTTTCACATTTACTTCTCTGCTCCATCTTCCTCTGTACACTTTTTATTTTAACAACAAGCCAAAGGAGAGCCATTCAGAGCAATTCTGTATTACTCAAATTCACTTTTTTGATAGTTTGTTGTTTAGAACATATAGTATCAAATTAGACATGCCCTAGAGATGCTATTTAATAAGTTGACACTATCTGTGACACCGAACTGACAAGCGTCAATGTCAGGGGCATCAAGACATACACTTAGGTAACACACAAGTAAAAACTCTCCATGATAAAATACATTAATGTTTTCTCTTATGGCACTGCAATTCTGAGAAATCATATATTCACAATTCTCCCAGAACACCCTGCTGGATATGTAAATGTGCTCAGAGTGGCAACATGTTTCAGACTTCTTCTGATCCATAACTTCTCCTTTAGCTGAAAAATCAGTGTTTCAAACAGTGTAAGAGTGTCTGCATCAAATGCATGATAAAGTATGAATCAGATCTGTACTTTTTTACATAACCAGTGGGGCAGTCTGGGAGAATTGTGGAATCAAGAGTTCTCAGAAATGCTAAATCGAAGGACTAACTTGTCACGTGTAGATTATGCGCAGCATACCATATTGAATTTACATTAACCATTGGAGAAGCTTTTTACTCATCTTTTTCCAGAACCAAACATGCAGCAAAGTTTCCCAATAGGAAACAATTGTATTCAATGCTTCCCTATGACCTGTAGCGTCACGTTACTCTGTCAGTGCAGAAGAAGCGCCGTTATAGGTGTGTTTAACCTTCCAAGCCAGGTTTAAACATACAAGACCACTGTCCTATATGTCCTCTGTCCTAAACCTTTTTTAACCCTGCACCAAAATTCTACATGCCTAACTAACTTATACACAAGTGCAGCAAAAACTACCTCCACCCCTTCAAAGATACTTTAGGATCAGTGAGTGCAGTGAGAGGCAGTCACAAAGATAATAATGCCTCGGCTCTACGGCTGAACTGCTTTACATGTGAGGCAGCCAGAAATAGCCCTGTACACACTGATCTCGGTGTGTAAAGTGACTGTCTACAGCCCTGTAGCATGAGCTGAGGCATCAAAATGATGTGACGGTTTGTAACAGCCTTTGTAATGTTATTGCAGGAACCCTCATGGAACGGTATCCGAAAGCTTTCAGCATGGTTAGCCATGGGGGCTACTGTCTGATTGCCTCACAAGTGAGGAGTTTGGGGTCCTTTAAATGAAAAAAGCCCCCCATCCACAGTTTGTGTATGTGTGATGAAGACATAAAGCGTATGTCGTCAATCACTAAGGGGTTAATAATGTATGTATGTATGTGTTGAGGATGAATATATTACTTTCCAGTAGACAGGACAATGTTTGAAGGGTAAGGGAAGTTTAGCAGGCTTAACAGGGTTCTAAGAACAAATATACAGGCTACTGTCACTCTTATAGCATACTCTTGGCTTTGTATACACCAAAATAGATTGTTTGATGAAGCTTTACAGTTGCTATGGAGCCACAATCTCAGAAAAGAAGTAAACCAATACACACTTTACTGAATATTTTTAGCTAGTCAGACTACTTATCAAAACATGTATGTATCAAGAGATGTATCACAAAAATAAACAAGTATTGCATGTTAGTCAAGGAGAATTTCATACATTCTCACGCATTTTCTTGATTATAACTATGCACATGCAAACACAAAAACTCACCAGGCTGCAAATTAGATGGCAATAATTCTAAATATTAAGCATGCAGACATGGTCAAAAGGTTTAATAATTGTTCAAGAAATTCAGGATGACACAGTTAATGTTTCAGATCTTCCAGTCCCTGGCTTGTCTGGGATTCAGCCATCTCTAATACAGAAGGGACCCAACCTGTCAGGGCCGGTGCAAGGATTTTTGCCTACCTAGGCAAACAAAAATTTGCCCCTCCCCCTTCCCCCCCATATACTCTTCCCACCATGTGACATCACAATGCCCCACTCATATGATCTGCCATATGCCATATGAAAAGACAGTGTGTTTACATTGAAAAGCCTCAGGGACAGGCTATAGACACCAGAACCACTACATTAAGCTGTAGTGGTTCTGGTGACTATATTGCCCCTTAAATGTGAGGTAAATTAGAGATTAGTGCCACTAATAATATACTGGATTGCCTACTTACCACCAGATGAGAACAAGAGGATGGTGATGGGCTCAGGCTGCAGTCTGGCTCCACTGGTCTGATGTTAAAACAGGCTCTCTGGAGGCAGTGCTCACAAAAATCAACTAACAGGAAGCAGTTCCATTTTTTAGGAGCTCAAACAGATCGCAGTCTGGCTGTGTGTATGCCTACAAGGCCCGCAACACAAGCCTTATGCCTACAAGACCCACCCATGAGTTCACTCACAGGGAGTGGAGTGTATGTGTGTAGAGTATGTGTTATGTGTTATTTTAGAGGATGTAATGTGTGTGTGTTCTTATGGAATGTAGTGTATAAGGATACCAGTTTGTGTAAGGGATGTAGTGTGTGTGTGTATATATATATATATATATATATATATGGGATGCAGTGTGTGAATCTTTGTAGGTGTAAGGGAAGCAGGGAAGCAAGGTTTCGGTGTATGTAATGTAATGCAGTGTGTGTGTGTCTGTAATGGGTGCATTTAGTGTGTGTAAGAGATGCATTAAAAAAAAGCAGTGTGTGCTTCTGTGGATGTGTGCAAGGGCTGCATTGTGTGTGTGTTTGTGAGGTATGCATTGTGTGTGTGTAATGGATGCATGGTGTGTTTCTGTGTGAGTGTAGGATGCATTGTATGTTTCGGTGTGTCTGTATGTGAGTAGGGATGCATTGTATGTTTCTGTGTCACATCCTGCTCTGTTCTGTGGAGATGTCTGGCCTTGGCTTCTACTATCCAGAACTCTTTTTACAATTCTTGTTTAGTTTTTCTTGGTTTTTCTGGTTTTCGAGTCTATGTCTGGTTTTCTTTATTGCTGGGATTTCTGGGTTCATTCCTGTAATCCATCCCTGGGATTCCCAGTCTCCAGGTTTCCTTTAAATGTTTGTTTTATGTTGCCACACCTGTCTGTTTTCCATCATTCCTCTTGTTTCAGTGTTCCTGCAGGCAGCTGCTCAAGGCTTCTGCCCTTTCTTGCAGGTAAGTGCTATAAATGTCTTCTTTGGTTGTTTTAAGGAACATTAGGCAGTGTAGGACCTGCCGAATATGGTGTACATAGGCGTTGTGGCAGGCTTATGCAATGTATGATCATATAATGTAACTAAATCCCCATACTTTTCATATATAGTGCTTAGTTATGTCTCCTCTTGTTTTGCCTATTATATCTTGTCTTGTTTTAGTTTGTATTCCCAGTCCATGTACAGTCCTGTCCTGCCCCTGTTTAGTTAATGTTCCCTTATGTCTTGTGTACATGTTCTGCTTTCTGTCCTGCTCTGGTTCTGGGTTCTATTAGTTCTGTCTTGTTTTCATGTTTGGTGAATATCCTAGCCTTGCCTTGTTTCAGTACTGGATACATCTTAGCATTCATCTGCTCTGGCTTCCACTAAGCTGCAACAGGGTCTTGGTTTGTGGCCGCACAAACGCTGGTACTCAACACCAGGGGGGTGCGGTTACCCTGCACCGGGCCTTGTAATCCACTTCCACGCTGAAGACTCCCACTTCTCATCTGGCACTCAGGTGTCCCGGTTTCCATACCGCCACCCGTGACAGTGTGTAGGCATGCATTGTGTGTTTCTGTGTATGTGTAAGGATGCATTGTGTATGTGTTTAGTGTCTTAGTGTTGTCCCTTTCCCTCCTGCCCCTTAGTGCTCTCCCCTCCCTTCCTGCCCCTTAGTGCTCTCCCATCCCCTATTATCCCTTAGTGCTCTCCCATCCCTTAGTGATCTCCCCTGCCCCCGCTGTCCCTTAGTGCTCTCCACTGCCCTCCTGTGATCTCCCCTCCTGTCCCTTAGTGCTCTCCCCTGCCCTCTCCCCGTTCCCATAGTGCTCTCCCTCCCCCTGACTCTTAGAGTTCTCACCCCTCTTGGCTCTTGGTTTCCGCCCCCCCACCTCCCTCTTCGTGGTTTCTCCCCCCCTTAGTGGTCTGTCCACCCCAGTGGTCTTTCCCCCACCTCCCCCCCTTAATGGTCTCTCCCATCTCCCTCAGTGTAACGTGGCCGGGCGGCGCGAACCGCTGTACAGGAGCTTGTGCTTCCCGTACCCGGCCGGACTGACAGGAAGTGCTCACTGAGAGAGCACTTCCTTTCAGTCTGGCCGGGTACAGGAAACAAAAGCTCCTGTATAGCTGTCCGCGCCGCCCGGCCACGCTACACAGAGTGACGGACAAGAAGGAATGTTGTGCGCTTCCCTCCTGCCAGGTCACTCGAAACTTGAGTCCTATATACTGCCTAAATCGCCTATAGGGCGCGCCGGCCCTGCAACCTGTATTTTGGTTTTGATCTGTTGTTGTGGATGGGATCAGTCTTAAATGGAAACTACAACATATTGGTTCTACGGCAAAGAGACTGTTACGTTTGGTTCATCAGTGTAATCACTGCATTTTCAGAGAAAAGGAAGTGTTTACATTGCTGCCTAATGCCACCTCTAGTATCTGTCCTTCAGGCAGCCACTAGAGGGACTTCCTGTTTGAGGTCCTGCCAAGACTGCAGGACTGATGCTCTGCATGATGACCGCAAACGTTTCCCATAGAGATGCACTGAGTAAATGCATCTCTATAATTGGTGCAGCACGGCAATTGCAATGTATGCGCACTAGCCTCCCACCTCTTCCATATAAGTAAGCATTGCATTGGCTGGGATTATTAATATAGCAAGCAGAGTAGGGGCAGCCAATGCAAGATGGGAGCACCGGGGGAAATAAAGTAAAACTCTTTAATTTTGCACATAAACAGATTTACACCTTTTTATTGCTCTTTTGTTGTTTCTGTTCTGGTACCCGATTAGCAAAACATAGAATCTACTGTACAAGGTTTTACTGTCCCTGGAATAACCATGTGCTTTTCTGAATAGCAGATCATTCAAGAAGAAAAATAAAACTAGTTACAGCAATGGTCAACCTAGGTCAGGACAGCTTTAAAATAAGGGAAAAAATACAGGAAACTGCCTTGAACTACATAATACCAACTGTTAAACACCCCAACAGCACTGCAGGAATTAATCAAAGAGCATGCGTGTCTAAATATTGTCACAATGTACTTGTCCACCAATATAGTACAGAAGGAACAGTATGTGTTAAGAAGTATATTTGTAAACATACTGTTTGTAAAGGTAACAATTTCTCAGGTTTATGTAGCTCAAGGACAGTAAGGGGAAAAAAATTGTAATGTATTTTTTTTTTTTTTTTTTCAAGACCTGGGGGACAATTCCTGCCTGTTTTGCCACTTTAATAAATATTTTCACAACATATTGGAGACTGCTTCTCAAGAAAGCAAAACCTAAAATAATGTAAAATCACTACCTGTCAGAGGTATCCTTGGACTTTCTCGCAGTTTGCCGGGGTCTGCAGTTGAGGCTCTCACAAGTGAAACAACACAAAACAAGGAAGCTGCATAGTAAGCTAGGGGGGGGAAAGTAAAAATAATAAAAAAAAATAAATAAAAATAATCTAATGTAAAACACAGACTCGTTCTACATGAAGCACATGGATTCACTAAAATGAATGTTGTCATCACTTTTATAGTTTGGGTAATAGCAACACTATCTGATGGACTCTTGCATCTATCAAATATATTAAAACCCTCGTACCATTATTGTAGCATCATATTAAAAGTAAAAGGTGTATGTACACTAATTCTGATAGTTGAATTCAAACATTTCATTTAAAAAGAAGAACACACTACTCCTAAGTGCACCAAAAAGAAGTCTAGAATTTATAAGATATTTAAACAAATACATTTCAAATGAAATGTCAGTTAAGGCTATTTAAATAGTAAATAATTTAATATCTCCAATGAGAGATATTTGGATGCTATCATACATGAAAAAAACCTTGGATGTTTATTCCACCTCGTCTGGAAAATAAAAAGCAACAGAATAATGCATTCTTGATTCAGACTAAAAATAACATAGCTTACATTGTGGCGTTAACAAGTATGCTGTCTTCCCCTCTCCCTGGCAGATTGATGGACGCTGCCTACTTGCAGGTCATGTCCTTTTATAAAATTAAAGTGCCCCCCATCACTTATGGACTCTCAGACGACCCCATTCTCTTACTGATTTGGGGTTGCAGGAGTGATCTGAACCAATCAGTATGCACGTAAGCAGATTTACACCTTTTTTTTATTGCCCTGTTGTAGTTTCTGTTCTGGTACATGATTAGCAAATTCTTGATATTCTTAGTATTTCTGGTTTCTCAAGCTTGTGTTTTGGATTCTGAGTACCACTGTAACTGTGACATGCTTAATAACTCTGATTATCCGCTAATTTGTTACACTGAAAATGGCTTGTCTATTGACCATGATTTCTCTTTTATATATACGATAAACCTGGCCACGCTAATGGCCGGTAATATGTCTATTCTGTTTCTATTGTTGGTTTTCCCAGGTTTTGTAATTTAGGGTATACTTACCCTAACACCTTGCCAGGGTAAAATAAAGTTTTGTAATGTATTAAGTGTGATATATTGTTTTGGCATATTAATAACTTTTAAGTTATTAAAATTGCACATACCGGTGGGGGGGAGGGGTCTGATTCAAGCACCACTAAGTGCCGTGAGGAGTTCATAAAATACTCCTCATGACAGCATTTCCATTTGCTAGGACTACATATTAGTCTATAATACAATATATTATATTCAAAAGTATAGATTAAAAGATGGATGGAATAGTACCCCCCTCCCAAATGATGCAAGCCATATTTAACAATACTAGTGTGAAGACAAACATGTAGATGCTTGAAGCAATTTTAGGCATTTAATTATCTCTCACACATAATTAAATGTAAACAAGTCACTAATATCACTCCTATTATTAGTTGAGGTGTATATGTATATGTGTGTGTATATATATATATATATATATATGTGTGTATGTATTGCACTGTATATTTTGTTTTTAAACAGCCAGCCAACATAATGTTAAACATTTTTATTTTGCATTCATTCCAAATAGTGGAGATCTCTGCTACTCTTCTGTTTGGATCTAAGACAAAATACACATTAAATGTTTAAATGGAAAATAATAATAATTTGCATTTCCAGATATGAGTAAGCATGACATACTCAAAGTACATAATAACATACTTAATGCATACATACTGAGCTGTGATGGAATGTTGCTAGAGAATTATCACACAAAATTGTTTGTAGTGTGTATGTAGGATGAACAATTCCAGATGGATGTGGTAGGAGGGTAAACCATAAGTTACAAAACACTTACCCCATATAGCAGCTGGGGAAAGGTCTCCTTCCTCAAAGCGGGGGAAGAGAATAAGCTTTGGAATAAACAGAGTGTTGTACAGCCAGATGAAGAAAATGACTCCCACGCAGAACCATCCCTGAGGGTCAACAACAAAATGTATAGGAAGGCCCATTGTTCATAGACTGTTGTCACGACTACCAGTGACAACAGGTTGTGTAGGCACCAGTCTGTAGGGAAAAAAAATGCAAAGGTCACCTAAGTTACATTTCACTCAGAAAAAAAACCAACCCACAGACAAATGGATATCAGCCCATAACCGCATTACAACAAAAAATAACCATAGTGTAAAACCTATAGATAACCAATAGATTCGCCACAGGACTTTGAGGCAGTGTCTAAAAATGTTATCTAACCAGTTATATGGTGCAATGGCAGATTTATTGGACTGTATACAATGTTTAAGCTCAAAAAAGCTCATTTACCAAGCCCAAATTATGTTTCCTAAAAAAATTCAGTCTACATGAGAACTGTAGCTCCAAAACATCTAAAATTTAAGATGTCTGCTGTAATTTCATTCCATTTTCTTCAATTCAAGTATTGACCTACTCCACACAAATTCTTTATTTTGCATTGTTCTGAGCCTACTATTACTTTCTTGTATAGGCTTGAAGCATATCCAGTTTCGTAAGTGACATTTGCTCTCTGAATGATACCATGATCTTCCCTACTCCTGGAACAGAATAACTCATTTCAAAAATCCAAGCAGTAATTTTTGTGAAATCAGATATTTTCTGCAAGAAGGCTGCCTGAACAACCATTGATATCTACCATCATAGTTATAAGAAACTGGATAGGAAGAAATTTTACATCAAGAAAAACTCTCAAGGTATTCTGGTAATAACCATGAAATCATAGTGACAATACCAGGTACTTGCTCATTTTCTTTATTCTCTATTACAGTGGCACTTTAAGAAAATAGATTTATAAAGAAGATGAAATGCATTTTAAATTAAGTAATGCCATTTACCAGAATCCATGACAAATCTAAGATGTACATAGCTTCCCAAAACAGTTAAATTCCATTAACACACTTTGCCAGCCTTTCAATCACCAGCCAGATTTTCAAATTATGCTTGGTGAAGGGTTTTAACTAGTTTAAGTTAAAAAATAAACATATATATTCATACAAAATAAAAGTAACAAAATAATGCATACTTCATTCAGACTGAAAATACCATGTTCCCCCATCCGGCCGTTTCCATGCTGCCTAGAGCCACTGGCCGGCTCCTATGTTCACCCATCCGGCTGCTTTAGCTAAGGGGCTGCAAATCCCAAGGCAAAATTTGTATTTGCCATGGCGACCTGGCGCCTGGGATTTGTCATACAATCTCAAAGGAAACAAAGGCCAGCAAACCAATCTGGCATATATACATTTAAACATATTCTGCCAATGTGTAAAATGGAAAATGCCTCAAACATAACCCAGTTTTTCCTGACTTTATAATAAAACACAATTCGTAATAGAACTGGTTTTAGACAAGACTTCTGTTGAAATGTCTAACTACGGATGACCTAATCGTGCCTCAAATATCCTTTTTGTCATAATGCTTATCGTTGAGTTTAGTAGTCTAATGACAGCCAGAGGTGGTAGCAATTTGCTTATATCCTTCATGAACAAATAGTTCTCATGGCCAAATGAGGAAATCACGTTAAATTTATTAAACATCAATTCACAACATGGTCCAGGGAAAAATTATTCCAAATTAGGTTTTTTTAAATGTAATATTTTGTATCAGACAATAAAGATACATGACCAATGTGTCTAGAGAGTTGTAAAATAATATTTTTGTAGTCTTACAGGAGAGAGTGCAATGGCAAAAGTAACATATAAAATACTGTAGTGAAGCAAACCACATGGGATGTCTTGTGTGATACCTTTCAGACCAATTTCACTTATCAAAAAGCAACAGGTGCAGAGTAACAAAGGGGCACTCCAAATATATTGTATAGTATGGAGACACAGAGACAATGAGTATAAAAAGTCACTATGACAGCAAATGACGCCAGGTGGAAAAGCCAGCTAGCAGACTAAAGTATAACAATATGACACAGCAAATGACATCAAATAAAAATAATAAAAAAGAAGAGTTGCACTTGGTTTACACTTGCTATCCTTTGCATTTTGTTTGAACATGTTCTGGAACACATGAATGCAATCTGAGATCTAAATACAATTTTGTGAATGAAATAAAAAGCAGTACAGGAATGACATCATTCTTACATTTAATTCTTTGGGTGGGTGCAAAGGGTTCTCTGGCTACTTGGCCAGACACTTTTTTCTTTTATTAAAGGGGGATGAATTCACTGACTTAGACCTAATTGTTTTTTTTTTGCTTATCTATCAGCTAAATGCAAACATTTTAAAAGGTTTCTGCTAATATAAAATAGAACGTGTGCTCTTCCACCTAACATACCCACCAGCTGATTAGTAGAGTAGCAATAGGTATGTGCAGGCCAGTGGTAAGTAACACTTTAGCAGCACTGTGCCAAAACATGTCATTAAAGTCCCTTGGCCTGTTGGCCCTATTTTTAATTTTTTTTTTTTTTTACATTATATTGCTGTATGCCGATTATGTTATCTATGGGTGCTGCACCTGTTTTGCAGGGTTATAACAATATACAGTGATCATATGTGCTTGACTCACACACACACACACATACACACATTTTTAATATGAATCCACCTAGCCTCCCTATCTTTTGGGAGACCTGAGTGGACTTTTCCTTGGGTCCAGTGGGGCTGGTCTTCCTGTGTGCGAGGGAGCAGTAATCTACCTGCGGCTCCCCTTTACTCCCTGTAGTGATGCCGGGGCTGGAATGACGTCATATTCCAGCTCCAGGCATCACTATGCTATACAACGCGAGAGAGCAGAGAGGAGCTGCAGGTAGATCACTGTTCCCTCGCGTGCTGCCCCAGCCTGCTGTCTCCATGTGATCCCTGCCCAGGTCACCTCCATGCTCTCCAGGGCAGTCTGCTACATGCTCCCTGAGCCGGCTGCTTCCATGCCCTCCAGGGCAACTGGCCAGCTCCAATGTTCCCCTATCCGGCCGCTTCCATGCTGCTTAGGGCAACCAGCTGACTCCAATGTTCCCCCATCCAGCTGCTTTAGCTAAAGGGCTGCAAACTCCAGGCGCCAGGGTGAAATTTCTAGTCGCCATGGCGACCTGGGACTTGTCGAGCACTGGTATAACGGTAACTGTGGCTGGATGTTTTAAGCCAATACGGATTACAAGCTTTTTTAGGAATGGGGAGCTACTGATTGGCTTTTATTGTTAAATTATGTTTTATATATAAATATTTTATATAAAACGAAAGCCCTGTTTCTTCTAAACAAGTTATATATAATAAGCGTGGACACACTTAATATGAAAGAAATACATTATGGTTGAACAGACATTTGGCTCAAATTCTAGGTTTTGTTTTGGTCAAAACTTGTACAACTGCCTCTGTCCTTAAAGCGGCACTGTCATGCCGAACTTACCTTTCCTCAATCTCTTCCTCTTCTCCGCCTCTCTCAGGATTTGTTCTTCTTTTCTTCCTGTCTTCTTTAGTTTTCTTTAAAATCATAAGACAAAGTAGGGACTCTTTGCCTTATGGAGGATTCCTCCGCTTGACCAGCTCTGACCAGCGGAGGAGCAAAGTGTGCTTCATTTCCGCTGGTCAGAGCAATTTTCCCATGATTCTCACCTTCCCTCTGTGTTCCCACGATGATTCCTGTCATTTTAGAGGAAACTGCCGAATTGCGTTCTAACTGAATGAGAACAGTATGTTCGTTTCTTTTAGAACGCAATTCGGCACTTTATTCGGATCGGAATTTCATTCGAATGAATGAAACTCCGATCCTATTCATGCTGTGGCTGCATCTTGCAGCCGTTTAGTAGATAACTCCCTAATTCCCACGGTATCAGGGAGCTATCTACTAAAAGGCTGAAAGACCTAAATTGGTCTTTCAGCCAACTTTACTAATACTAAGTAAAAATTACTTAGTATTAGTAAATAATATGCCCCTACTCGCTATGCCGCGAGTAGGGGCATGTCTGGTAAACAGTGAGCAGCCTGTGGCTGCTCACTGTAAAAAAAAAAAAACTATTGGCCTCCTAAACGACGGGTGGGGGCCCTAAAGTAAAATAAGGGGGAGACCTAATGTCGCCCCCCCCAGCCCCCACCCCTGCGCGGTGGGTGGGGGTCATGACGATAACGAGGGGGGGCCTGCTCCGCGCAGACTGAGCTCTGCAGGGTGGGGGAAGGCTTATAAAGCCTTGCCCCACCCTGCAATTAGGCTAAGAACACTCTGATTGGTGGGTTTAAGCCAATCAGAGTGCTCTTTGTCATTTTACACAGCGTGGGAAAATTCAAAAGAACTTTCCCACGCTGTGTAAAATGACAAAGAGCACTCTGATTGGCTTAAACCCACCAATCAGAGTGTTCTTAGCCTAATTGCAGGGCGGGGCAAGGCTTTATAAACCTTGCCTCGCCCTGCGGAGCTCAGTCTGCGCGGAGCCCTCCATGGGTGAAGATGGATTATTTTTTTGGGCTCTGGTTTTTTCTTTTTCGTCGGGTTTTTATTTTTTTGCGCTCTGGATTTTTATGTTATTTTCAATTCGACGGTTATGTTGGTTTTTTATTTGGCCTTTTTTGGGGCTGAAAAATGAAGATTTGAGAAAAAATAAGACGTCGAATGGTAAGTTTAATTTTATTTTACAGGTTAGTTATTTTATTCCCCCCTCACTATTTTTTAGGGTGAGGGGGGTAGGTAAGGACTTTTTTTTTTTGGCTGGGGGGGTGGGTGACTAGGGGCTTGGAGACCCCTAGTCACCTTGGTGGGGGTGGGAATTGACTTAGGGCCCCCACCCGCTGCCCAGGGGTGGGGGCCGCGGGGGGGTAGTAGGTCCCCCTCCCTCATTCTCACTATTAGGTCTCCCCCCTTATCTTACTTTAGGGCCCCCATCCGTCGTTTAGGGGTAGGGGCCAATAGTTGTTTTTTTATTTTTTTTACAATGAGCAGCCACAGGCTGCTCACTGTTTAGTGGACATGCCCCTAATCACGGTATAGCGAGTAGGGGCATTGGGGAGATTTTGATCTCCCTTGTGCTATTATGGGGGTCATATTG